TTGACCTAAAAATCGATGACATGTCATTTTGTATAAACTTTCAAGAATAGACCTTCTATAAAAAATGTTTATTCACTCAAAGCTTCCAATGTTTATTTACTTCTGCAATCTCTGCAAATTTATGAACATTTTCGAGTTAAACTTACCATTCTTTGCATACTTTACTTTTTAATTTATATAGATAAAAATATTAAAAACATGTATACAGGATGTAACTATGTATTAACTACAAAATAACGAATTCTTAAAGTATAATAGGGCGACAGCGACCGTGAGAGCTCGCTCCTTACTCCTGACATATCATTCTTAAGTCGCATTGTCTCCATAGTGCAGCTGTCAGCCTGGTCCTCGCGGTGACGTGTGAGGTCACGTCTGTCCGCTAGACGGCGCTGTCAGACTTAGAAGCTTCTGAATGCACTTACAGCCACGTATTAAATTACTTACCTATTGTTTATTACTTACTACATATAAAGTGGCGTTAATATTAATTTTAAAAAAGTCACGTCTTTAATCTGCCTACCCCATTAATTTAAAACATCTAAATGACGAAATAAGATAAGGGAAACTATATAATTCGTAATTTCTTCTGTATATAAGTGGAAACAGGAAAAAAAGTTGCATAACTGAACAACTGCAATAATAAATAAAGGTCAATAATAATAAATTTCCGTTCATAAATGAAAAAAAAAATTTGAATTACAATACAGCCAAGTCGGCGGATGAACTCGATCGTTTTAAATTGAACTTCCTGTCTACCTGTAAAATGAAAGTCTGCGGTTTAGCAAGGAAACGGGGCTTTTAACACACAATCAAGAAAACATTTAATAACTGGCAAATTGGTTTTAATATCTATAGATTTTAGAGCAACTTTCTGCTTTCAATACCTACAAACTTTTAGTATTTTAACTTATGTTAGAATTAAAATGAAGGAAACGAAATCAGGTGGACCGATGACTTAGTGCGAACAGCGGGATGTCGTTGGATGCAGAAGGCGGAGGAAGGCTTCGGGGAAAGCCTATTTCCAACAGTTGGCAGATAAAGGCTGATAATGATGAAACGAAATATGTATGTGATCTAAAATCTTTGTGATTTAAAAAATTAACTTACTTAAGTTAAGTTACTTTTGCGTCTTAAAAGTTCACAATACAATAACAGTCTCATTCATAAATAAGGTGCGAAAATTTAATGACTACTTACAATGTGGGCAAATAATTTCTGGTTCTTAAGTTCATTGACCCGCCTAATTATTGGAGCAGAGAGTGCGGGGTGGGCAGGAAGTAAGTTTGCGAGGGATTTGTATGGTAATTATTATGGAAAGTGCGCGTGTCTGAGGCCTGGCCGACTTCCCGAATGACAGATGTTCAACGGTTGAACAACAAAATGTTAACGCGTACAAAAGCTTTGTGATCTTTTTTTAACGAATTTGTATCTTGTACCTTATCAAGCTTAAGGCGTTCCTATTTTGTACATTTTAAAATCCCCGTAAATTGGTTTTCAGACGTTCTTATTTCAAAATTGCTCACTTCTTTTAATTAAATTTCGTTTCTGTGGCAAAAATAATCATCCAGTAAACGGGTACTTCGGTATAATTAAACTAATTTTCATTCTATTTTGACAATGAACTTGACAATATTTGGTAGAAACATGTAACCTTGAAAACATTGACTATTTTAATAATTAGGAAATCCCCAAGAGAACCGTAGTGCACGTAATCACTCGCACAAGGTCACAAAAGTAAGGGTGTGGACAATGACTCAGTTGTAGTTTACATAGATTAAATAAAAACATAAAAAATGTAGTACCACTCATGCCCTAAATTTCTAATTTAAAGGATGATAGCCCTGTTTTCTACGCGTTCTTCAAGTAGCGTAGTACTAGTTAACTAATCTTTGCTATTTCCGTGACATTTGACTTAAATTTCCTATAATTCATTTAATTTATAAAAAAAAACTTATCGAATCGTTATCGGCCAATACCGAAAACAAACAAGAACGACGGATTGACCCCAACAATATAGTATATTGCAATACAAACTTCGTTGCCGCTCGGAATTTTTTAAGAGGCAATCGAAGATCTTAATAAAATCTTACTAATATTATAAATGCCAAAGTTTAGATGGAACGGATCCTGATGAAATTTGGCATAGATGTAGAAAACAGTCTGGAAGAACACGTATTCTACTTCCTTTTGTTTTTTTTTAATTGCAAGCGGACGAGTGCGAAATCTAGTAAATAATATAGTATATGAGATTTAGAGTTGACCCTACCTGTTGACATGACATGCGCTCACAACTAACTGCGTGTCGTTATAAAAGTTTGAATTCTATATTACCGGGAAAATATCAAAGACGTTACACAGGAAGTAATGACATAATTAATATTTCTGTTATTTTTAGTATGATTCATTGAATGTAATGTTGCGAAAGCGAAAAAAAAATTAACAATATACACTTTATTACCACAAAGTATAGTTAGTTAGACAATGTTTAGTTAAAAGCGTGTTTAAACCCTTCGACCGCCATTGTTTGACATTGGACGTCGACGTGGTTATTTATTTCAACATAAATATGTTTCACCGTTGCTTTCGGTATAAGTACATTTATTAACTAAGTACGGTTTTCGTAAACCTACGTATAAAAGTGTTTCAGTAACCATGATTTGTTCAAAAACTGCGTAGGCGCTAGTCACGGTATAAGGGTTGATTAACAAATGTTTTAAATACTAGTTAAGTTTCTTGTGGTAAGGCCATGAGCCTTAATATATATTATTTTCTGACTGTCTTTTTAAAAGTAACTAAATACTTATTAAGACGGAAATATGCTTCGACATGTTCTTCCAAATCGAATTTACATTAAAAACCGGTACAACACAAGTAAATAGAGCAAACGCGTTCCCACCGTCGCAAAAGTCCCCCAACATTTGCCTTCCGAAATTCACAGTGCAAAAATTTCATTCACTTTGCCATTGACCCTTAAGGTATTGTGTGAGTCCCTTTTCTCAGAGTCTTGCATCTGCCGCTAGGGTCGCGACGCAAGCTGCTCGGTTTCTTAGCGTCTGCATTTGAACGATTTATGTGGGGTATTCGACGCACCGAATACGTTATAGCTTTTTTGTTTTGTAAAAATATAATTGGATCGTTTTAATATACTTGTACGTACTTAAATTCGCCGTTTTGTTTTATGCATTCGATTAATAAGTGTTTAAATGATTTTGAGTTTGTAAACATTTTGTCAAGAGTCATCGAAAACACATCGTTGTTGTTGCGTTAAGTTTCCCGCCAAAATAAAACTAATATATTGTTACGACACTATGTTTTGAGTAGACTAAAAAGGTTGTTTCGAGTAATAGAACCAATAAAGTTTAGAATTAGAAATAAAAAAGCGCCTATTTATAAAAAATATTTTAAAGGTTTTAATAAAAAAAAAAAACTAAACATTGCAAAATTCAAAAGAAGAAAACTTTCTAAAAGATTGTTTAATTTCGATTTCATTAATCTGTGTAAAAAAAAGTGTTTACAACATCATTAATACTTCGCAATGAATAAAAATGGTAGACACTTGGGCACCGTTCATTTTCTTGGTAAGATTAAGGGCTGTAAAATAATCACTAAAATAGCGAAGATTTCTACAAAGAAATTTATCTGTAACAATTATAATAACAAGTAACAATGGACTAATTTCCCTCGTAAATACCTAACCGGCTTTAAACACCTTTAGAGCCTTTGTAATTTGGATAACGTTAAGAGAACAGGTGCTTATAAATTATGGTACCCTGGTAACTTGAATTGTTAACTCAAAGTTCCAGGAAAAGATAAAATGAAAGATAAGGAGATTGTTTTTTTAACACTTCACAATCTTTTTAAAGGATAAGCTTTAATTGATATTTACACTTCGAAAGAATTTATTTAATATCTGAAACTTTCTTACTGATATTTTACAAAGTAAATTACTATGGATTGGCCAAGCATACAAAATTCACATAATTTTTCGATAAGACGGCACTAAGTAACGAAATTACGACGGAAATGACTAAAAAGACGTTATTTTTCTAATGATTATATATTTCTGCAGTATCCATTGTATTCCATATCATTTTATGCCTAAGTATTCAATATCTTAGGGGTTAGGAGTGAGTAGCGGGATGAATCGAAAAATGTAAATTAGTTTTTTTTTTTTCAATTAAGACCATTTGAATTGTAGCTGGAGATCTTACCTACGTGAAACTTATTAAATATTCTGTGCCTTCAATAGATACAAACCTAAGAGTTTCCGAAGCTTTCTTTACAACAAACTTACAAGTAAAAAGTGTAACAATGAAAGAGGTTTAAAGTAATAATAATATGTACAGGTAAACGTACTAGATTCGGTGTATTGTTACCATTACACAAGCTGCTTCGACCTCCGTAAGTAATGCGTACAAAGGTGTACCAACAATGAGATGGAGCGTTGAAAGGAGATAAGGCTTGCCCAGGTAGAATGCCAGGTAAGTACACCTAAACTTTTCAAGTAAAGTTGATTGATGTTTGAAATATTTGTTAAATTGGAGAAAAAATTGTAACGTTTTGATGTACTTTTTGCAGAGCTCGTATAAAATCAGATAGGTGTTTTGACTCAGACGAGCTATACAGATTTCAAGAAATAATTCGGATAGCCAACAGTTGTTAAATTATGAAAATGTTAATAAGGTAAATATAACCATTAAAATATAAAGTTTTGATACCCTTCTTAAATTAAAAAATCTTTTTGTTTCAATGTAATAGCAGCCTACCCTACATGTGTTGGTTAGATAGAAAAAAAAACACGATGTTGACCATTTTTTTTGCTCTATTTCGCTAACAATAATATTATTCAAAATAAACGATGCTTTATAAATCATTTTTATAAACAAAAGTAAGATGAATTGTTAAAATAAATTAAATTATTTGAATTTTGCTCTGAATATTAAAATGTTTGTTTCAAGACGAAAGTTTTGCTATGGCAAAACTTCCAACTGTCAGTTAAACGTCAAAATGGCACGTCAGCAGCAAGATGTTGATGAATTATTCGATGTTAAAAATGCTTTTTATATTGGGAATTATCAACAAGCTATAAACGAAGCGCAAAATGTGACTGTAAGTTTTATTTAAAATATTCAAAATTCATGTAAATACTTCCTACAAAGTGTATATTATCATAAGTAACTGCCGTGGCGTGTTTTCATGTTATATCGAAATTTTATAGATTGTTTTCGCTATAACTAGACGGAAATTTAAAGTAATAAACTAACTAGTAATTATTTAACTTCATTGCACTAAAAATAGTAGATCGCATCATGTTAATCATATCTTGAAGTTAGTTACTGTCATAAGCAACAATTACTTAGCGTCGCGATATCACTTTATCTAACACACATACAAAACACAGGAAATTATGTATATGATTCTATAAACTGTACAGGTGTCCAAACAATTAGTCATATTTGCATTCTTTTATATTTCCAGCCTTCATCACCTCTGGTGGCTCTCCAACGAGATGCATTCCTCTACCGCTCGTACATTGCTCAGGGCAATTTCCGCATAGTGATGCAGGAGTTGAAGTCAGCAGACCCCATGCTGCTGCCATTGAAGACACTTGTGGAATATCTCTCACCGGGGGCCAACAAGCCAGCAATTGTTGCCGATATTGATGCCAGGGTAAATACAGTTTGGTTGCATTAAATGGTTTGTTGTTTCTTGTTTGGGTTTCTTAGTTTAATGTTTACACTAGCTTTTGCCTGTGAGTCCATCCGCATGGAATAAAGAAAAACTAACCTATGCAACAGCCACAATAAGTTTTACAACTGTGCTAAATGTCATCAAGATGTGTAGAGATGTTTCAGATACCTTCTAATAAATATCCATCTGGGTAAACTGTCATATTTATTAGCAACTTTAGTTAGTATTAAATACATATAGTGTTTTTGTTAAATGTATTTTTATAATTATAATGTACATTATAAAAATGTAATATATTTTGAACAGTAGATAACCAAAAGTAGTTATGGTCAACAAGATAACAGTAAAAGTGTGTGTGGATAATGAAACCTAATACAATTTACTAAATTTTCAGGTGGCGAAGGGCACAGAACTTATCAATGATATATTCCTGCTGGTCGCCGCGACCATATACTACCATGAGGATAATTATGAAGCAGCTCTGAAGTAAGTCTGAGATATGCTTATTTATAATGTTTTATAGGAGTCATTCTAACTTATGGTAGGATATGCGCTCCTCAGTGGGTATGTATTGTGAGCTGGTGATGATGATAGTGCCATTATGAATTTGATATCTATAATATACCCAACAAAATAACCATGAAGGAAAACATTGTAATGTAACCTGCGCATATTGCCAAAAAAATTCAAATATATTTAGGAAGTCAAGTTGCAGTAGACACATGTTGATTATGGCTTAGTTATCCCAACTTAAAGTAGGTTCCGAGCTCCTCAGTGGGGACATAGTGAGTTGATGATGATAGACCAAATCAATTAACTTATTAAAACTTTCGTGAGACATTATACTACATAAATTATAACACGGCTAAACTCACGTGATAACATTCGGTGTAGGCACCGANNNNGATTAATCACTCACCCTGAAAAAGGACCCCCAATGGGTTCGAAACTGTCGGTGCCAACACCGAATGTTATCACGTGAGTTTAGCCGTGTTAAAATTTATTTAAAGACCAAATCCTTTATACACTAAAAAAAATATCTGTACAAGTATTATAAAGAGTGTCAGTGTTCCCAACCAATCATAACGTGGGTGCCTATAAGAGAAGGGTGAAGGGATGTTTATTAAATTAGCACATACCATTCTTTGACCACATTACCACTATAGGTGGAATCGTGGACAAGGGCTGATTTTAAAAATCATAAAAATAAAGTGGAAAGATTAGATAAGATAAAGTGAAAAGTTTTGTATGTATTGAAATAACTTAAAAACTACTGGGCCGATTTCAAAAATTCTTCTACCAATTAAAAGCTACATAATCATTGAGTAACATGGCAATATTCTTCAATTTCACTTGAGCTAGTAATTTATGGAACACTGGTTTTGACAGCACTATATTAATTTTAAATTTGTAACCATTTCAGAATTTTGCATGGATCTGAATCCTTGGAGCTGCGGGCGTTCACGCTGCAGTGCTTGTTGGCCATGAACCGACCAGATCTAGCCAAGAAGCAACTCAAACTGCTGCAGGATATAGAAGATGACGGCACACTGACACAATTGGCACAGGCTTGGTTGAACTTGATACAGGTAAAATACTCCACTATATTGTTACCAAGATGGCGGCCGACGCAAAATGGCGGATGATATATTTTAGCTCAATCACGACATGGGTATCAAATGAAAGGGCTTGTTGAGTAAAGTTTGGTACACAAACAAATCCAAATGGATGGATGGATGTTTGTTAGAGTTTTTAGCCTTGTAATGTAATAGATAATTAGATAGATAAGTACACTACATTAGAAATGTGGAGTGTGCGTGTTTGTTTGTACGTGTTATAATAATATATTATTTTGTATGTGAATATATATGTGATGAGTTTTGCGTGTGTAATGTTGTGTATTATGAATGTGTATGTGTGAATGTAATATAATAAATGATAAATAAATAAATGTAGGGTAATAGATAATTAGATAGATAAGTACACTACAGCCTAAATGGCTGAATGGATTTCGATGAAATTTGGTATAGATGTAGAGGACAGTCTGGAAGAACACATAGGCTACTCACTTTTGTTTTTTTAATTCGTC